TATATATATATATATATATATATATATATATATATATAAATAATCATTATATTGAGGTTTCAAATTGAGCAATTTTTTCAAGAAGTACTTATAACAACATGCACTAAAATGTATGTGCGTGTGTGTGTAAAACTTTTTGACACATCGCTTGTAAGCAAATAGATCGGATTAAACTAAGTCAAAAAATTGCCTACCATTTTGTAATTTTCGCAATAGTTAATGAGATATTAATTTTGAGAAATTGTTGAATAAGCAGATGAAATAAAATAGATAAAATAAAAATAGATGCGTAAAAGAACTTTAAGATATCTATCAGAGTTTTTTATAAAATATCATAAAGATGTTTATTACTAAAGAACTCTTAAAGATTATCTTAAAATTGTTTTATGTGTTGATTTTAGCTATTTTACTTCAGCTACTTTACTACTTACTGGGTAACTAGAAAAGAAATTGCAAAAATTGCAAAATAGTAAAGGACTTTTCGACTCAGTTCGATCTCTATTTACCCAAAAGCAGTATATCAAAAAGTTTGGGACATTCTGTATATATGCGCGCGCGCGCGCAGTGTGTGTGTGTGTGTGTGTGTGTGTGTGTGTGTGTGTGTGTGTGTGTCTGTGTATATGTGTATGAAATACGTTAAAATACATTGTGTTAAAAAGAATCAAACTGCACCTGCGCGATTTCCTCTGTCGCACAAGTCCCTTTATGACATATTTCTTTATATAGAAAACAAACATCTGTTACTTTATTGCCACAATCAAATTGATCGCTTAACCATACATCCCTTCTGGAATAAAGGTGTGTAAATTGTTATTTCGATCCCATAGTAATATTTCTTTTTTTGCATTACGTTTAAAATAAATTAAGCAATTCAGTTTAATATATTCAAATTTAAAAAATATAAAAAAAACTTATAGAATATTTAATCGACAAATCGAAGAAAGAGAAGACGCAAAAATTAAATAATTATTATCTATTGTATTTACATACAAACAAATGTTTTCAAAATATTAGATTTCAATATACAATATAATTTCTCTTGAGTTTAGAAAAGAAAAACGATATCAAATTTTATTAAAACGACAGTTAAAATATTTGTTGGACCAGCATATTCAATGAGCTAACTGAAATCAATAGAAATGTACAGTTATGCGAAATTTACACGTTTATTATTATGTGAGATATTGCTTTTGTTATACTTGTAATATTTGTTATATTTGTAAGCTAAGTGAGCCTATAATAAATTCACTTATCAAGTAAAATAATTTTAAATAGAAAAAAAAGATTAGCTGCCACAGTTAAAAATTAGGTTTAATTCAGTAGCATTATATGGACATCTAACATGCCTATTTCACAGCTAATTTCCATTAGCTGTGAGGCCTAAATATTATCATTTTAACAGACAAACATTTTGCTATTATGTCGATTGCAGCAAACAGTTTTCTGTATAGCAGACAATTTGGTAGCAAGTACAGTTTCAGCAAATTATATTTAGCTGTGGTAGAGACAATTTTCTTTTACACGGACATATCCGATAACTATGACAACTAACTTTATATTGCTAAATAAATTGATCTGTAACTTTACTATCGCGTTCTTATATTAGCTACAGCAACAAATCCTCTGTATGTATTAGCAAATTTTATAGCTATAGTAGCTAATGTAATTTCAACTAATCAGAATTCGTAGCCAGAAACATTTTCCTTGCGATCTTCAATAATGGTCATATTCAGCGCATTAGCTTTAACTTTATATTTATTTTGGCCGTTTTTAACATTGAATTGATTGATTAATTTTATTGGAATTGTAAAGAATGTTAATTTTAAAAAAATGTGTAAGTATTGAAAACAATAGTATATATTTATAGTAAATTATTAATAAATTAACGGTTGATACATGCAGGATTACTATTTCTCTGAATAGACCAAATTAATTTATGATCGTATACGAAACATATGAAACATAATCATTCATTTACTGAAAACTGACAAATATATTTGCATCACTTTCTGTTGGATAATTAAAAACAAATGCCAATTAAGGTAGGAAAGTTATAAAAGACAGATTAATGTGCATAATGAAGTGAAGACTTTAATACTAACACTACGAGAATGCAGAACGTTTTACTTACAAGTAGATGTAATATATTTAATAAGCTTTGTAATATTTTTTACATCCGTAAAACACTTTTCACAGTTTCTTTTATTTCACCGGTAATAATTTCACATATAACTCGTATCACTCACTTCTGAGACAGTTCGACCGATATTCCCCAAAGAACGCATCCTATGAGTGCACGCACGAGAATGAAATACATAAAACAACGTTGCTGGAATCGAGTGAGTTGCGCTTGCGTAGACTTCGAGAAAGACATCACCTTATGTATTTATAGTGTAAAATAAACAGCTGCTGAATTCTATTCAACATCAAATCGATCGTCTTTTTCTCCCAGCAAAATTGTCAAAGTATCATATGTGTGATCCCACAACAGTATTTTATATTACGTACTAAATTAAATTATAGCGTTACATATTATATTACGCTATTTAGAATTTAACATAAAAAAAATTTCAAAATATGCAATTGTTTGAGAGGAAGGGATACGCAAGACTTTAATGTTTCTTTCGCAATCAAATGTACCTCAATGCTTAACGAGAGATGATTTTTATTGAGACCCAGTATTTTGGCCTCAATCGAATTCTTTTGCTCGCCATTGGCTTATGGCCTTATAAGCAATCAAAACTCATTCAATTACAATTAATTTTATTCTTTGGTATTTTGACGAGCTGCATTATAATTCAGGTATAAAAAAAAATTGTTAATTGTCTCTTATTACGTAATAAATTACTATACATTTAAAATTAATTATTTAATATCAATTTAATA